CCTTCCTTCCTTCCTTCCTTCCTTCCTTCCTTCCCTTCCTCTCTCCCTCCCTCCTCCCCTTTTTCTTTCTTTCCTCTCTTTTTTTCTTGCACTGGGGCTCAATCTCAAGGCCTTTATCTGCTGCTCAGCTTTTTCATGCCAGCTCATGCTCTACCACTTGTGCCATGTGTCCAGTCCAGCATTTTTGGTGGTTAATTAGAGATAGATTCTCTTGTACATTTTTATCTGGGCTGGCTTCAAACCTCAGTCCTCAGATCTCAGCCTCCTGAGTAGCTAGGAAGACAGGTATGAGCCACTGGCATTAGACCAGGGTATCCCTTGTTTTGAGGAAAAGGAGATTTTATTCTTGGAAGTGTCTACACCTTTTCTGAACCGACAGGTTATGGAGGAGGTATGTGGATGGCAATGGTGGAGTATGTGGATGGGTAATGGTGGGTATTCTAAATGTTTTCTTATTTTTGCAGAGGGTGGCTAGTTAGATTTACAAATAATTTCACTTGATGAACTTCCTTAAAAAATGCAATTTTAACATTGCATTTTATGTGTCTAATTCAAAGGGTTCCTATAGTAAATCCTGTTTTGAAAAAGAGATTTTTGTTTATTTTGCTATGAAGTAGCACACTTCCATTTGCTGATTTTTTGGGAGTCTTCTTAAGCCAAAGGAACTTATATTACACTCAGTACTTTCTGTATTGTACACTCTGTGTAGTGCTCAAAATGTCTGAAGAAAACACTTCCTTACATGTGCAGTCAGGTGACAGTGAGTCGAGTCATCTTTCACTTACATAGAAAGGGTATTTCTGTCTTTCATGGGGTATTTGGGTAATAGTCCTTAGAAATTCTTTATCATCAGAAAAATTTTATATATGAGGGGCTGGGAAGATGGCTCAGTGGTAGAGCGCATGCCTTGCATGCCTGAGACCCTGGGTTTGATTCCTCAGCACCACATAAGCAAAAAGAAAAAAGCTGGAAGTGGTGCTGTGACTCAAGTGGTAGAGCGCTAGCCTTGAGCTGAAGAGCTGAGGGACAGTGCCCAGGCCCAGAGTTCAGGCCCCACAACCGGACCCCCCCCCAAAAAAGAAAAATTTGATATATGAAAACTCTTTAGTCCAGTAAGTACTATATGATGGTCAGAATCTCCCAGCAACTACAGCATTCCCAACTTTAGTCACTATTGTAGCTATCATCATCATCATCACCACCGTCACCACCATCATCATCATCATCATCATCATCATCATCATCATAGGCTATAGGGCTAGAACTCAATTACTATTATTATTATTATCATTATCGGTTGTGGGGCTTGAACTCAAGGCCTGGGTACTGTCCCTGAGCTCTTTTTGCTCAAGGTTAGTGCTCTACCACTTTGAGCCACAGCTCCATGTCCAGTTTTCTGGTGGTTAATTGGTAATAAGAGTCCCACAGACTTTCCCGTGTGGGCTGGTTTTGAACTGTGATCCTCAGATCTCAGTCTCTTGAGTAGCTAGAATTACAGATGAGAGCCCCCAGCACACAGCTATATGAACCATTCTGACTCATCCCAGTATGCCAAAAAGCTTATTGTACCAAGAACATCCTGATATCCCAACTGCCATTTTAATCATTTTCTCGTGAAGCCAGTGATCTGCCGGTCTATACTCTGATTTGCTGATTTAGTAGACAGAAGAAAAGTGGAATACTGAATAGCAAATATTGCTTCTCTTCACTGAGTCCAGAGAGCTGTTATGGCAACCGTGATGAGAGTCAGAAGCGATGGCTTCCTTTGACCCCAACGGAGGAGCAGCTGTGGGTCCTGAAATCCCTTCCTCTCCGTTCTCCCATTGTGGTATTCCATGCAGTGTCTGAGTACTTTCCATGCAGAGAAATATTTTACCAACATCTGGGCAGGGACAAGGCAAATGCCATATATAGACCAGGAGGTTCAGCAGTAACTGTTTATTCCTGCCTTGATTTCTGATGATAACACTGGCAACCGTGCGACCCTGAGTGACATTCTCAATTCCTTCAGACTCCTGCCATCCCCATAGAACTAGGAGAAGACCAGGACACACGCATGTGTTCTCCGACTCAGACTCACATCCAGTGCACACTCGGCTGTCCTACACTGCTCCCTGGCTGTGTCTACACAGGCAGAGGAGAGGCGGGATGGATGCTAGTTCCAATGCGAAATTGCTCATTAAGAGAAAAGTAGGTTCCTGGACATGTGGGTGGGGGAGCTGTACTGGCTTCAGAAGAGATGGAAATCAAAAGGCAATGGCTTCTATCCCTGCATCTTCATGTTGATGAATTCATGATGCGCTGACATTCAAAATCCACGAATCATACCCAGTTCTGCCCACGTTCACGTCATGATTACAGCTCTGGCTTACCAAGACTATATTCTGTAGATAAATCAATAGGCATGATTGTTAAATAATCCCATTTGTGGGACTAATAAATTGCACATGCAATTCATTATGATATAGTGTTTTCCAATAAAGCCAAGTAACCTCAGTCTTTTTGCCAGCACCTGAGTGTGTGTGTGTGTGTGTGTGTGTGTGTGTGTGTGTACATGTGTGCACCTGCAGGTGTGCACACACCCATGCCAGTACTAGACCTTGAACTCAGGGTCTTGAGCTCTCACTTGATTTTCTTCATTCAAGGCTGGTGCTCTGCTACTTGAGTCACACCTCCACTTCCTGCTTTTTTGCATTCTTCCTTCTAATTGTATTACTTCTGCCCTTGTTCTGATCTTGCCTTCCCTGTATCTTGGGCCCCTAAGATAGCTTTCTATCATGTTACCTAGAATGCCATTTGCGTGTATACAGGCCAGCCACGTATTATTGACAGATGGCTTTTGCTAAAACAGTACTGATTGCATCACTTACCAGTCAAACATTGTTGCTGATGTCTCAGTGTCTGAGTGCTAACGTCCAGGACCTTGGCTCTTCTGTGGCATCTCACCAACTCCATTTCGTGCTCATATCTCATTACTTCTGCCACATTTTTACTTGGGCACTTGATGGAGATAGATTTTTCTGGCTGATCTTGTAGCTGCCCTGCTTTTACATATATTTGTTTTTCTAGAAATGCCATTCTCTTTCACGTCTATCAGCTTAAATTCCTTCTGCTCCTCAAGTTTGGTGAAAACCTTGTCCTTTGTACCTCTCATCTGTATTTTAGCACCAGATGAGCTCTGCCTTCTTACATCTGCTGGACACCGTACCTCTCTCAAGAACTTTACACGTCTGTACTCAACCTCCTCCTAGTATTTTGAGCTTTTTGAGAACAAACGTACTTAAAAAAATAGCATGAGCCAGCCACCGGTGATTCATGTCTGTAATCCTAGCTACTCAGAAGGCTGAGATATGAAGATCAAGGTTCAAAAACAGCCTAGGCAGAAAAAGTCAGTGAGGCTGTTATCTCTGATTAACCACCAAAAATCTGTGGCTCAAGTGATATATTGCCAGCCCTGATGCTCCTAGGCCCTGAGTTCACACACACACACACACACACACACACACAGTAATGAAGTAATGACGGCAGGAAGGTGGATCGCTGTTCATTATTTTCAGTTGGCAAAATAAAAAGTTAGGACATAGTTTTGATCTCTCAAATGTTAGGGAAAGGGATTAGAATTGGCCTATGAATTTTGGAAGCTCAGAAACCCAAAGTTAAGATGAAGGGTGCATCCACCCCCGTGGTTCTAAGATAATGGTGCATGTGGCACGCTGGATTTATGCTTCGTACATGAGTGAACTGGCCGGCACACTTGCTTTGCTGGCTGCCTCAGACATCTGTGGTTCTGCTTCTTGAGATATGAAATGTGAAGAAAGCCTTTTTGTTTTCAGGGACTAGCTCATGTTTTTCTCCCTCCTCCCTTTTCTTCCCCCTATTTCTTCCTTTCACCCTGGCTGCCCAACTTACAGACTTTCAGTATTGCCAACATACTGAAGTTATTATTATTATTATTTTCTCTTTCAATGCCAACTTGGCAGGTCTGTGGAAGAGAGGCAAAAGCACCCATGCCCAGAATCTCACAGGGGAGAGCAAGTAGTTGGTAGCATGGGGATAACAATGACTTAACATTATGCTTTTTCTTGCAAGATACAGATGCCATGGAGTTAGCAGGAAATTTCGGTTGTGAAGTCTTTGTCATGTCTCAGAGGAAAAAAAAGACTTGTAGAATATGGATTTTTTTTCAAAACAAGAAGTTAGAATTTAAAAAGAGATAGCCCTGTCCCCTGAGCCCAGCCTTCAGGGAGCACCGGGTACACATTGTCTGCAGGCAATTGAGCCAGTGCTGCTCTTTCTAATCAAGTCATGTGCAGTTTTGTTTTGTGTGCAGGCTCAGATTCTTGGCTCAGTGTTTTGTTTTCTCTGATGGAAAGCATTTGGAGTAACATGATAAAAACATCGCATTAACTCAGAGAGTGTTAATAAAAGAGAACTCTTTCAGCCCCGGTTCTATAAAGTCCGACTCAGGGTATTCAAATTTCATTTCCTTCGGAGCCTGTGCTTCCATGCATGATGAGGTCTAGCTTATTTATTAACTGCTTGCACAACTCTAGGTAAAAATGTCCATGGTAATGATTAAAATGAATAGTACCAAGCTTATCTTCAATAACTCAGATGACACAAATCACTGATGGGGTTATGGAAATAAAAATCAGGGAAGAAAAATATGCTATTACAGCCTCAGTTTTCCATATCTCCTCATGACCCCTGGGCCAAGGTCATCCATAGACAAGCTTTGGGGGCCCAGCAGGTCACGGAGAGGCCTGGTTATAAAAGAAAAGACATTGAAGGCTCTGGTTTGTAATGGAGCAGTGCAAACAAGTGGACTTAATAGAGTTGTGTCCCTGAGAATCTCAAAATGTTGCCATCATGGGTTTAGACTGGTCATCTTAGTTCCTTCCTGGCCACTGGGCCACTAATTTTATTGACCAAGTTCCCATTCATGTCCTGAAGCCAATCAGGCACTTAAAATGGTATGCAGATTAGATATGTTTTTGGCCTACAGGACAGGAAACAGAGATTGAGAGTAAAGTACCTAGATCACATTAACTAGATGATTGCCACTTGAGCTTAGAACAAGGAATTGAAGATGTAGTTCAAGAGACTGGCAGAGGTTTTCTGTGTTGGAGGAACCATCTGGGAATGGATTGAACCCTATACTGAGATCAGCATTGTGAACAGCGGGACACGAGGGTGGGGTGTGTGCCCAAGGCAGGCGAGGGGGAACAGCATCTCTGTTGGGCAGAGGCCGGGAGCTTGGGCAGAGAGGCGTGGCTGGTGCATGGGCAGGAGCTAGGAGGTGTTGGCCCTGCAAGGCTGGGTAAGAAGCTTGGATTAGAAATGAAGGAGCCACAGAGGAGAAGGTGATGGTTTAGGTGTGCGTTCATGAAGATGGATCCTTGGGCTCCTGTCTTAGGCAGTGATGTGTAGAAGGAAAAAGATCAGTTCCAAGGCTAGGGAGCTGGAAATGGCTGTGTCTCTGTCTGTGTTCTCCCTCCTCCCCTCACTCCCCCTTCTTTCTTTCTGGGCTGGCATTGGGGCTTGAACTCAGGGCCAGAACACTGTCCCTTAGCTTTTTTGCTCAAGGAGATGGCACTTTACTATTTGATCTGTACCTCCACTCCTGGCTTTTCCGGTGGTTCATTATAGATCATCTCACAGACTTTCTTGCTTGGGCTGGCTTCAAACTGTGATCCTCAGATCTTAGCCTCTGGAGTAGCTGGGATGACGGGAATGAGCTACCCAGTACCTGGCCAGATAGTCTTTCTTAAGAAATATTTTCCTCATCTCTTCCTCCATTTTGTACAATGACAATCACACACAGTCTTTCAGGCCCAGCTCCTCCACTCCTAGGTGACCGCCGAGCTCAAAAGCCTTTCCCGTGAGCACTGTCACCTTCTGTCTGTATTGTCACCATCACTGTCTGTTTCCTTTATCACCTTCTTGATGGCAAGCTCTTTTGTGGGGACAAAGGAGGACACCAGAGCATGACCTATGAAGTCTCCAGCCCTCTCACCACCTGTGTAGCCTGTTCATTACTTTAAGCACACAGAAGACACTTGGTAACTAACAAGTGGTATAGCCTCACTCTTCATAAAGCTGTCTAAGTCTTTGAAAGAAGTGATGTTTCCCCTAAGGATTGAGAGCTTCTTTCTCTTGAATTTCCACACATACCCTTTGGGTTCCACTGAGCTGTGGAAATTAGGAATCTTAGCCATTTCTCCCAGGCCCGTGAAGTAGAACGTTGGTCTATTTACAGGGGTCTGTGGAGGCTCCTAAAACCTGGCAGCACAATCATATATCAGAAACCACTATCATAAATGAGTTGGACAAGGATAAGCCAACTTGAAAGAGAAAATAAAATATTATAACCCCAACATGAAAAGAAAATATGGTGTGTGGTTTATTGCTATGGATTATGGAGGAAGAAAGAACTGATTTTAAGTCAAGCACAGAAAAGCAGTGACACTCTTTAAACTTAATATACTATTCACATAGCAGACACTGGACGTTAGAAAGCCAAACCTTCAGGCTCCTACTCTGGTCTATAAAATAGATGCAGAATTGCTTTGGCTACATTATTAATGCTATGTTAATAGTGCACAGTCCTAGGGGCAAGGAATGTTTGAGGAGAAAAATAACCTCGAAGGCAGCTTGGTTCTTTTAAGTCAGAGTCTGCCTGTCAGAATCTCACATTGCATTTTTAAAGACCTGTAAAGGCTGTGGCTTTGGGAAATTCCTCTCCAACGAGGTTGAGACACAAGAGGGACAAGGAAGAACTTGTAGTGTAGGAAACGATTTTAGTTGTCTTAGTGACCAGTTCTGCAGTTAGCAGAAGTAGGAAGATGACTTGAAATAATGAGATTAACTTACTTTCTAGAGTTACCTCTCCTCCTCCTCATCATTGTCCTCCTCCTCCTTCTCCTCCTCTTCCTCCCCCCTCCTCTTCCTCTTCCTCTTTTTTTCTTCTCCTTCTTTTCATATGCCAGCACTGAGGCTTAAATTCAGGGCCTGGGTATCGTCCCCTTAACTTTTTCCCTCAAGACTAGCATTTGACCACTTGAGTCCCAGCTCCGCTTCTGTCTTTTTGCTGATTAGTTGAAGATCAGAGTCTCACACACTTTCTGCCTGAGCCGGCTTTGAACTGCGATCCTCAGACCTCAGCCTCTTGAGTTGCTAAGATTACAGGTGTGAGCCACTGGCATCTGTCCAGCTGACTGGTGCATGTTTCAGGCCATTCAATGAGCATTCCCGGGGTCAGGAAAAGCACACCTCAGGGGAAATGGGCAGTGGAGTGAGTTGTTGGGGTGGTTGAGGTCAAGGTGGGTTGGGGGCCCCATTCCCCCCTGACGGGACCTAGCATTCGAGCACACCTGGCCTCACAGCCCCTCCTGGGGGACCTGAATTGCAGACCTAACCATCACCAAGCCTTCTCTTTCTGCGTTGATCTGGACAAATAATTTATCTTCACTTTAGGGCAAGTTCACGGTCACATGCGGGAGACACTTTGGGTTTTAGTGAGAAGCAAGTCATACATCTGCAGGCCAGGCCCCGAGTTCCATATCAAGCTGCAATTTAAATCTCAAACTAACAGGAAACTAAGTGAAAACAACAGCTGTTATCCATACAGGGATTTCTTTTCCCCTCAGAGTTAGACAAAAAGAAATCAGTCAATATGAAAACAATTCATATTTACATGTGTGTCTTTCTTTTGTCTTTCTTCAGATCACCAGGTTAAAAATTGACCGAAACCCTTTTGCTAAAGGATTCCGAGATTCTGGAAGAAACAGGTAAGAATACTGGGCAAGAGATTCACTGAGTTTCTTTCTGTGTGTTGTGACATCTCTGCACTCTATCTATTGTTGGCTCCTGGGTTCTTGAAAATGCCTATGAATGCTGCCCCTGTGCCAACTCAGCAATGGCCAGCCAATCCCAAGAGTCACAGCATGAGGTGAGGGGTGGCGTTGTCCAAAGAGAAATGTACTCTTTACCTGACCTATGTAACTGTCACCTCTCTGTACATCATCTTTATAATAACAATTAAAAAAAAAGTCACAGAGCTGCCCTAAAGGCCCATCCTCAAATCGATGACCGTCATTACACCAAATTCCCCACGCATCTCCTCTAGCCTGATCATCACCCTGGCAATCTGCTTAGGTAAAATAAGGTATTCAGTGATTTGTGATTAGAAAAGGTTGCCAGATCTGTAAGTGGGTACAGAACTTGTAGCCATTGGTCATGTTTTTCACATAGTCAGAAAATAAGGAATTAGGAGCAAATAAAATATCTTTCAGAATATTTGTATAAGCTGCCCATTCTAGGGCTTGTGCTCAGGGCCTAGATACTGTCCCTGACCTTTTTTGCTCAAGGATAATGCTTTACTACTTGAGCCATTGCTCCACTTCTGAATTTTTGCTGGTTACTTAAAGATAAGCATCCCAGGGACTTTTCTGCCCATGCTGGTTTTGAACCACTATCCTGAGTAGCTAGGATGACAAGTATGAGCCACCAGCACCTAGCCTTTTTTTCCCCCCAAATTTATTCATTTTATTGCTCTTTTATTTTTTATTTTTAATTGTTTATGTGTTTCTTGCTTTAGTAACTAGAACACTGCCTCTCTTGATAACTTGCCATTGTCATCAAGACTTGATTGTGGTCCTCAAGTTACTCTTGTTAATTGTGGCTGTTTGCGGATATTGTAACAGGCCTGCGAGGCTGTGTTGATTTTCTGGCTAGTAGTTCTTTCTTTTCCCTAAATTCTATCTAGCTCACCTTTCCTAGGCAAAGTTAAAATCTATTCTCTGTGGACAGTTACAGGAGAGCTGAGCTGTGTGGGGAAGTTGGATACCTCCAGGGTTCTTCAGTTAAGGAATTTTATCTTGAGAAGACCAGACCGAATCATCGGTGTGCCACCCCGGTCTCACGCAGCGCCGGGACTTGGCAGCGATGACTTGCTTTCATCAGATGTCAGACCTCTTTCATAGCTTGCAGGCGTTTCCTTCCATCTGGATGGCAGGCTGGCTGTTTTAGCTCTGCTATTCTTTCTGCGGTGGGGTTTCCAGGCGCACCCAGATCCTATCCCATTTAGACTACGTCAGGAGCTATGTAGAACATTGCCCGATCGTAGACCACCTGGCCGTGTTTCAGCCAAGGGCAGACTGTGTGAGACAGCAGCCGCCAGGGCGCGTTGGGTGCTGGTGGGCTGTGGCTGTCTGAGTTGGTGTGAGGATATGCGAATGTTTACTCAACAATTAGATCGCCTATTGCCTTATTCCTCGGAACACTTCCTTGTCGTTCAGTGATGTATTACTGTCTTGCGACACAGATTTATGTGAAAAATCACTTTGGATGGTCATTCCCTTTGCAAAATAACTTATGAAAGGATTGGTTTATAAACTTTTTTTTTTTTTTGAGACAGGGTCTCACTGGGTAATTCAGGCTGTGCTTGAACTCACGATGTGGATGAGGCTGGGCTTAAGTTGCTGATTCATGATAGGTAGGCCACGTATGGCATTGGGGATCTGAAGCTTGGTAAGATGCAGAGAAGGTGCCAGAAGGTACCTGAACCTGGGCAGAGGACACGGCAAGTGCAAAGACGGACGTGGCTAGATGTATCTGCATATCTAGCTATTATGTGTAGCGCTCATCACTGCCCAAGAGCATGTGGGCAGCACAAGATGGTGTATGTGGTGGAGTTCTGTCAGCACAGCTCAGGAAATTGGAACCCCATTTACTTTAATAATAATTTTTTATTGAGATTAAGTGATTATATGAATTTCTCAAAATTCACAGTATTGTGGGATAGTGATCCTTAGTTAAAAGTCACACACACATTTTAACCTTCACGAGGTGCATTGTCATTATTATGGTCTATAAAGCTTATGGTCTCTACAAACTTTGACACTACAGCTATTTCTTCCACATCGGGTGATATGTGATTTCTTCCCTTTTGCTTAGTGTCAGCGGTTCCCTCTTTCCCTCTCCTTCTCTCCCTCCCATCGGTGCCCTTGTGTTACTTAGTTCATTTTCACCAATGTCCAGTGTAGCTGATGGGTCCCTCAGTTTATATTTTTCACCTGTTTCCCTATGATTCTGTGCCCTCTTTCTAGCTTCCCTCAGATGTGCATATGTATGTGGTCAGGAACATGAAGTCATTTAGAAATTATATGACAAATTAAGTAGAGGTCCTTTGTTTCTTGAGTCCTGTTTACATTGTCATATCTCCTTACATTTTGGATTTAACATCCACATATCAGGGAGACCATGTGCCGTTTGTCTCTGATCTTGGCTCACCTCACTCAAAATGATTTGCTCTAGTTCCATCCATTTCCCTGTGAATGCCATTATTCTGTCCTTTCTGGTGGCTGCATAATATTCCATTGTATATAGGTACCACAACTTTTGGATCCACTTATCTGTAGTGGAGCATGTGGGCTGTTTTTGTAGTTGGCTATTGTGAACAGCGCAGCAATGAACGTGGAGGTGCAGGTGTCCTTGTGTCCTGGGTCCTGTTTCAGAGCTCCATTTTCACTCTGCAAATAAGACTGGTCCATATTGGCATCTTAGCTGGGGATGCTGAGGGCTTCCGGCCTTCACCTGGGGCCAGGAGGAAGCACCACGCATCATGTTGGCTCTCGTGGCTGACGCACTGAGCAGACAGGAATGTGTCTGTCTTGTCTGGTGGGCTGCACATGTCTGCAAGGCCGCCTCCTCCCGTTTTAATAGTTGGTGTGTCTTTTGGGTGGAAATTCTTCAAATTATCTCACTCAGATCCAAAGGCTACACAAAAGAGGGAAAGCTTGCAGCCACATGGGTGGCACCGGAGGACACTGTGAGTGAGATAAGCCACACACAGAAAAACAGCCGTGGGCTGGGAAGGTGGCTCAGTGGTAGAGTGCTTGCCTCGCATGTATGAGGCCCTCGGTTCGATTCCTCAACACCACAGAAGCAGAAAAAGTCGGAAGTGGCGCTGTGGCTCAAGTGGTAGAGCGCTAGCCTTGAGCTGAAGAGCTGAGGGGCAGTACCCAGGCCCAGAGTTCAAGCCCCACAACCAACAGAAAAAAAAAGAAAAACAGCCGCCACACACCTTCACTTTGGTGTGGAAGCTACAGATGTCACCTGCATAGACATAAACATTTGCACAAGCACAGCCATGAGCACTTTGGAGTTGAAAAAGAAAGCCAGAAGTGGAGATGTGGCTCGAGTGGTAGAGCACCAGCTTTTGAGTGAGGAGGCTCAGCAAGAGTGTGAGGCCCTGGGTTCAAGGCCCAGGATGGGCACAGGAAAATAAATGTGTTAGGGCAAGGTTAGGGGCTTTGCCCTTTTCCTCTTCACAAAGTTCAAGATGACCCTGCACTCTTCAGCCTGCCCAGCGGCTTGCCTCTCTCTGGCTGCCTGTGGCATCTGAATTCCTAAAGCCTTTGTACTGATGGGAAACACGGATGGGAAAAGGATACAGAGAATTCTTTGCAAGCCATCTGGGAGTTGGCGGGTCCCTGACAACACGGGGACCGTATAGCACCTTCCAAAAAGGAGCCTGTCATTTGCTACCTCACTTGTCCTAACACAGCTCCTACAACGCCTGCATCTTCCCTATGCATTCGAGACATACGTGGCTCGCACGGAGGAACTGGTTTGATGAGCTGTATATAAATGTGTCCCCCCAACATACGGATTCCATTTCCTTTAAAAAAAAACACATGGGCTTCAACATGAGGGAAGGGAGAGGGGTGGGTGGGAAGTGCTCGGCCAGTGTTTTTTGGTTTTGCAGAACACAAAACATTTGTGGAATACTTTGGAGTGAGGGAGTTTGCCAAACCTCAAACCAAAACATGTTCAGGTTTGTCGACCCCTGTCTCTCCCAGAGGCTGGGGAGAGGGAAGGGTGGGGGCTTCGTCACCCCCTGTCCTTTCCTGGGAGCGGGCACCAGGGTCTCCACATTCAGCCATGGGCGTGGCCTGGCTGACAGGTGTCCTCAGGGCAGAGCAGAGATCTTGGGGACCTAGGCGTTGGAAGAGACTGGCTGCCACTCCGCAGGTCTCATGGGAGACGTGCTCCTGGCTCTGAGCCTCCACTTTTTCTCCTTCCTCTCACTCGAACCCAAACCCATGAACAATCTGCTGCTGCGTCTGGAAGGAACGCCCTTTCAGGCCTGCCTCCCTGTGGAGAGCAGTGCTGTCCACACACCTGTGACTTCCTGTTAAGCAGGCCAGCGTCTGGGGAGTCACTGTCCTCCAAGTGAGTTCTAGCCGATTCATTCAGCCTCACACCCATTCCATTGTCTCTAGAGGCATCAAGAGACATAGTCTCTACAATAACCGTACAGAAGAGAGCCTGGAGGTGAGGCCCCTAGTTGATTCCCAAATAATGTTTAAGAAAAAACCACTAAAAATAAAAAAACAACGTATCGGTTATTTCCTACGATTCAACTTCCTGCTTGCATGTAGCCATTCGAGCCGGAAGCATACAAACGAGAGCACCGATTCATCCATGCTGCATCTGACATGGGAGGGGTCTGGATTTCCCTCTGAAGCTGCTGGTGTGTCTGTACCATCTCTCAGTGAACTTCTGGAAAGGTGTGCGCATTCAGAGTTTGCAAATCCGCCCAGAGGATGGGGCCACGCCCCTCTGTGCACGCAGTCTCCCTCAGAAAGCTGGGGGCCCGCCCGCTGACCATGCGTCTTGGTTCAACCAGTACAGTGACCCACACAGCCCCACACAGTTGCCAGGCCTGCCGCTGTTCTCTAGACAGCCAGCGACTGTGTTTTCCCAGCCCACCTCACCTAGCTCG